CGACCCCACTGAGGACCGGCGGGCCAGGAGGTGTGGGCCTGGAGGGAAACCGGTCCTGCAGAGAAGCCCAGGATCGCTCGTGGAGATGGCTGTCGCGGCGAGGACATCGTGATGACCCTCGGCTGGAGCGGACCGGCTATGGCTCACCCCGAGTCCGCAGCGGGAGCAATGGCTTTGCCCTCCGTGCTGTGCTGCCCGGAATTTCTCCCCGTGCCCCGTCTCTTTCCTGTTCCGCGTCCTTCGGTTCCGCACTCCATTTCCCCTACCCCCCCGCCTTTCCTCGCCTTCTGTGCTGCGTTGTGTCTGAGCTCAGTGGCCTCGAGCAGCAGGACTGTTAAGTTTCCCTGAGGGACACGCCCACCGCAGGCCCGGACTCAGTGGCCCTTCGTGCTGTCCACGGTGTGGTTATTGCGACCGTCCTCTAAAAGTGTTTTCTCTGGACTCGTTTCCACCATACATTTCCAACTCATTCCTTCTTCATTTATCGTTGCGTGGCATTCCTGCCTTTTGTTGCCCTTTCATCGTCCTGGATTGCAAGCCCCTTGAAGGCAATTCCTAAAGACATCTGGGCAGTTTCTTTGCACCAGAAACCCAGAGAGGCCGAGAGTAGCCCGACCTGGTAAAGGCTCGGAAAAGATAGGAGTAGAGATAAAACTGCAATGACGTGTTACACAGACGTGCACGTGCATTCCAACGACAAGTTACTAAGGTAGACTAAAGAAAACCTACCCCCTAAGGGAACCAACTGTTTCCGCCCGGTTTCGAACCGGGGACCTTTCGCGTGTTAGGCGAACGTGATGACCACTACACTACGGAAACAGACATAAGAAGTAGGTCTTTCCTGAGTCTTATAAGGCTTAGATCATGTTCACCACCCAGGTCTTCCAATCTTTCCTGCCGGTTCAAAGCCTTCTGATATCATTCCTGAGCACAAATACTGCCGTGTTCCTGGGTAATAATTTTTGTCAAACTGCAGAGCGCAACCTGTTAGTGGATCATGAAGTCAGTCACGTCCATTAATTTAAAAAAAAAAAAAAGTGAGCAAAAGCAATGGACCTTGCAGGAGGAAAAGCAAAATGCAGCTTTGGAAATATTTCTTACGAAGACAGTTGCAGGGTTTGAATCTTCACATAATTTGTGCTCCCTTGACAGTTACAATCTAACAAATTAAAAAATGCATTCAAAGGATATGAGTTTTGAATATATTTTATCAAAATGTAAATTAAAATAGCTATAGAGGCAAAAATAATTTTACACATGCTTTATAAAATTATATTTCTTATAAATTATGTAAAATATCTATTTTAAAAGGGGAAATTGAAATGAGTGAAAATATCCACTTTTAACTCAGTGATATTTAAGTAAAGCTAAAAGTGTTATTAAATTTTGAAAATGTAATGAAGTATTATATAAAAATAAAACTCACCAATCCTAGCATTTAATGTCCAGAATTGGAATGTCACAGTTCACACTCTTTTAGCACCAGGTTTTTTGACCCTTATGTTGCAAGATAAGACTAGAGCAACAGTAACTCCCTAGAGGCTCATGAAAGAGGACTGAACTAGCAACTCTGATTGTTTTACAAACTCTAACCCATTCCAGTGCAAATCGCTCTCAGGGCGTCAGGATACAACCTCCCAAACCCATTCCCCTTCAGCTATCCTTCTTATCAAGGTTAATAAACCAGCTTTATATGACCAGCAGCCTCCTCTTGTGGTTTGCTGTGTATGTGGGGAGACTTCTCCAGCCGGAAAGTAGAAAATAGGCTGGAAATAATCAACAAAAGAAATTAATTTCAATTGCAGTTAAGGAAAAATTTTGCAACAAGACGCGAGGGCGTTCATGTTACTCAGGGTGTTCCAAAATACAGGATATTTTTTTCATTCCTTTACGTGTGGGGGCAAATGTGGAGGCTGGAATGTGCGAGGTAACATCTCGCAAAAAAAGAGTGACGCTTGAAATCAAGCATAAAGAGAATATATTGAGCTGAGGGTCTCATTACAAAGTGGAAAACAGGTGGTGGTGTTGAGAACACGGAATCTCGACCTCTATTATCACCTACTAAGGCGCTAGCATATCACCGGGCTACGATTTAGACAGAGGAACATCCAGGTGGGCGGGTCCTGGGGTCCCATCACAGCTTTGGGAAGTTACGAGTCTGTCCCAGCGCTTCAAGTCTGGGACACATGGGCGGGTCTTCTGATAAACGGAAGGGGTTGGTCCTAGCTGAACACAGGTAGGCGGACTTCAGTGATGGCTGCTGGAGCGACAGACACTGGAATTTACCCGCCGGCACCCCACCCTCGCTCAAATGCCTAAGGCCTGCAAGGGCTTGATTGTGGAGTATCTTCCCATTTGAGGTCCTTTACTCAGCTACTGGAGATCACTTTTCTAGCTCTGGCGATGACATAACTGGGGACGCTTAGGTGCGGAGAGTGCGAAGTTGCTTTCGCAAGGAAATAGTTTCCAAAAAGACACCCATGCGCCCAACGTGGGGCTCGAACCCACGACCCTGAGATTAAGAGTCTCATGCTCTACCGACTGAGCTAGCCGGGCGACGCGCGACACTTCTCCCTCAGTCTCGAGGGACCAAGATTGTGGTGCAGGGATAGGACTATAGTTTGAGGACCAGCTGTACAAGTATTATGGACCGTCTATTGTGCGCCTAGCTCTGTGCTAGTCACTAGGCTCCTCGATGTGGGAGACAGCCCAATGGGCTTCTGAGGTCAAAAGATTATTAGCCGCAGCTGGAGACCTGAATTTACATTGCGAGCACTCACGAAGAGGCTGCTGTGAGCCGACTCTCCTGTTGTCCCGCTTCAGTCACAGACTCCCACAAACGAATACAGATAAAATATACCCATTACCTTCCTTCCATGTGACAACCACCTGTCCTCTAGATAATGGGATGAAGAAGTGACAGAAGAACTGGAGACCAAAAGTATGTTTCCGCCCGGTTTCGAACCGGGGACCTTTCGCGTGTGAGGCGAACGTGATAACCACTACACTACGGAAACCCTTGACGACCAAGCTTGACTAATACCTCCCTGAATCTACCCACAGTACTGACCGGCAAACTAAAACGGAGCACAACTTCTGCCTCTGGTTCAGGTGAACTTTGGTTCGGGTCTTGCGGTCGCACTTCTGTGCAACAGCAGGGCTAACAGCTCCTGGAAAGGCCTAATATAGCCCACTCACGAGGATTCGTAGTTTTGGCACCATCCTCTTAGGAAGCACAGGTCCACTTGGTGTTTCCCCATAGGCTGGGATAAAATTATGTGTGCCCTGCCCTGACATCATGCACTGCCAACACTCACTGGGAATTCTGTACACGACTTATGGTCCTGTATCTCTCTCTGCAGTCTTTTTAAAAAAAATTAAAGGACACAATTTTTAAAAAGGTACTATTTCTCTTGCACAAATAATATATTTGACATAGGTCAGTGATGTCAAACTCATTTTCACCAGGGGCAGCATCAGCCTCACGGTTCCCTTCGAAGGGCCGAATGTAATTTTAGGACTGTATGTGTAACTACTCCTTAACTAGTAGCAAGGAGCTCAGCGCTGTCGCTGGGTGGAAACAAGGTGCTGGGCCAGGTAAAACAAGGTGGAGATGGAGGGCCCCGCGGGCCTTGTGTTTGCCACCTGTGAGACAGATGCTCATAATGACATCTTGACTAATACACTTCTACATCTGGGATAGGACTCTCTCCTATTGAATGAGTAAAATCAATACCACAGACCCATTATGAGTTCTTCTTCTGAGACTGCGACCCCATGAAAACAGACCTCGAGGTATTTTGGCCTCAGAGCAGGAGCAGTGCACAGCTCAGAAAGTGATGAGTGGATGAATGAACCAATGCAATTTAGAGATAAAAGGTGGGGTTTTTGGGGGACTTTTAAGGTAATCCATTTATTTGGTTCGAAATTCAAAAGATACAGAATGACATATACGAAAAGGTATCTTTCCTATCTTGGGCCCTGGGCACCCCCAGAGAACCTCTGGTACTAGTTATTCTTCCAGAGACAAGCAACCTCGATGATAATGAGTAGCTAAAACATACCATCTTACTATGTGCTAAGCAACATTCTATCGCTGTGCATGACATTACTTCTAATTTCACAATTTATTGAGAACAGAAACTATTACCCTTATCTTCTGTGAGTAACCACAGGACTATCAAATATGCTTAACATCCTTCCCCTCTTCCTTTTTACCGATGGCAGTGCACTCTACACACTGTTAGGTACCTTGCTTTTTTCCCTTAATACATCTTGAAGAGGATTCCTTTTAACGGCTGGAGTGTTCCACTATGTCAATGTGCACGTAATGTCTTGCCACTATCCCTTTGCTGATGTGCAGCTAGGAAAGTTCTTCTAATGCTACAGTGACCAGACGGCAATTTTTAAAATAGGTGTGGAGTTGGCAACTATATAACGGAGGAGGGGAAGGGCCTCTGGTCCCCAACCACCGCATTTCTTCAGGTCCCACCTCCTCACGGTCACCGAAGGAAGCTCCAAGTACTCGAGCAACAAAGTCCTCTGCCTGGAAGGACCGGAAGTACTTCAGGACGCTCACCGAGAAGCGCCCCTCCTCTTCCAGCATGAGTTTTGGGTTTTTCACTGCAGTCCTTGGTGTCCGGTAGTAGGATGGCGCCGGTCCAATGCGGTGATAGCACCGGCAGCGGACAACCGCAAAGGCTTCCACTGTTTCCTGACGTTTATCCCCCTTGGCGGGGGAGGGGCGTAGTCAGTCCTTCTGTTTTATCTGTGTTTCTCGCTCCCCCGCACCACAGAGATGTGGGCCTCTACCGTTCAAGCTCTCCCTCCCTGCACCCGAGTGAATGCTAGAGCGTCTCCTCGCCGCTTCCTGTTGTCCGAGCCCGGGGCGGGAAGGAGGGAGCATTGCGGGACCCAGGAAGGAACTCTCTAGGTTGGGTGGCTTATAGGTACCGGAAGTGCTGAGAGGAAGACCGGAAATGAGAAGGCGGAGCCAGGAAGTGATGAGGGGAGGGGGGGTATGAGGAGGCCCAAGGAGCGTTGGGACAGATTTGCACTCAGGGCCACCTGAGGGACTTGATGGTCGCGCTCAGCTGTGTCCTCCCCCCAGCAGAGACACAATTGTCGTCTGGGAGTAGGACACTATTGAGGGGTGGGTTGTCGGGAGGACATTTCTCTGGCTGCGCTGGAGGCGAGGTGTGGAGAGGCAGGGCTGGGGGTGGGGCCGGGTCGTCAGGGCGTCTGAGAGAAAAGACCCCCACCCCTGCCCCCCCAACCATCTACACTGGCTGAGTGGACACTAAGATGGCTGCCGTTGCCATGGCACCCAACCCTGTGCAGACCCTTCAGGAGGAGGCGGTGTGCGCCATCTGCCTCGATTACTTCACGGACCCCGTGTCCATCGGCTGCGGGCACAACTTCTGCCGAGTGTGTGTAACCCAGTTGTGGGGAGGGGAGGATGAGGAGGACAGGGACGAATTAGACCGGGAGGAGGAGGAGGAGGAGGACGGCGAAGAGGAGGAAGTGGAGGCTGTGGGGGCCGGTGGGGGCTGGGACACTCCTATGAGGGATGAAGACTATGAGGGCGACTTGGAGGAAGAGGTCGAGGAGGAAGAGGAAGGTGTGTTCTGGACCGGTGGCATGGGTGGGTCCAACTGGGACAACATGGACTATGTGTGGGAGGAGGAGGATGAGGAAGAAGACCTGGACTACTACTTGGGGGACATGGAGGAGGACCTGAGGGGGGAGGACGAGGAGGAGGAAGAAGTGCTGGAGGAGGACGAGGAAGAGGAGCTAGACCCTGTCACGTCACTGCCCCCGCCTCCAGCCCCTCGGAGGTGCTTCACCTGCCCCCAGTGCCGAAAGAGCTTTCCCAGGCGGAGCTTCCGCCCGAACCTGCAGCTAGCCAACATGGTCCAGGTGATACGGCAGATGCATCCAGCACCCGGTCGGGGGAGCCGTGGAAATGAGCAGGGTATTTGTCCCAAGCACCAAGAAGCTTTGAAGCTCTTCTGTGAGGTGGACGAAGAGGCCATCTGTGTGGTGTGTCGAGAATCCAGGAGCCACAAACAGCACAGCGTGGTGCCATTGGAGGAGGTGGTGCAGGAGTACAAGGTGAGAGAAGATGGGAGTTTAGTGGGGAAGGAGAGGAAGTGGAGCTGGGAAAAGGAAATGTCTTCTCTCCAAAGAACCTCATGTACTGGTGAGCTGATTCTCCTTATCTAAGCACTCACTGGCACCAAGGGTTAGAGTGAGAAGGATCCTGTACACAGACACAGTGAAGGCCAGTGAAGACTGGTTTCCTCAAAGGAAATTGGGCAAAGCTGGTGACTGGGCAATGTCTCCTGGGGAAAAGTCACTGGTGTTTCCCACCTTCTCTGTCCCTAAGAGTAAGGAGTGCAGGTGAGAGCCCCCTAGTCTCATTTTCCTTTGGGTGATCTAAAGTTTATTCTTGACAGAGACCCCTAGTAATGGCAAGAACTTGGGGCCTCAAAGAACAGGAAAGAGCTCTGAGGATCAGGTACATACAAATGATGATTCCTAGTGTCTGACTCAGAGGCTCTGCACTTGCCTTCTAATGGGTTCCCCACCTCATGATATGGCTTGGTTCTCCCCCAGGACTTTTGCTGGGTCTGCGCCATTCTGATGTACTGGCCAGAACTTCTTACCTTTCCTGGGAGTTCAGAAAAAAGGGAGAGACTTTTAAGTCAGTAGTCCTGGCTATACACTTAATTACTTGGGGGCAAATCTCCAAATGTCTTTGAATTTTATTATCTATTGAATGTATACTACGTACCCCAGGCACTGTACCAAGCAATTTTCAGGGACTGTCTCATTTAAAACTTAGAACAACCTTGTGAGTTTGATATGGTTTCTATTCCCATTTTACAGATCGGGAAACAGAGTCAGAGAGATTTAAGTAATATACACAGGGCCACACAGCTACTAGTAAGTGATGGACTTGGTTATGACCTCCCCCCCCCCCACCCCTGGTCTATACTGTTAACAAGGTCACTGCTATTTGGATGTCTGTTTGACTTTTCTGACATATGACTTCATCTTGGAGTCTGATTCTATTTTTGTTAATATCTTGCCCCCTACTTCTGATCCTGACTCTTTATAGACATAGGTAAAGGAGAGTTGGCTGTGAGACAGCCAGCACAAATGTCACTGCTTAGCGAAGGCCTGGATATGTTTGAAGTGATGGGACAGGGAAGGGGAGAAGATAGATTTCTGTGATCAGCACAGTTCTTTTTTGTTTTATGCCTTATATTTTCACACTTCCTGATTCCTACAGTAACCTCATATAGATAATATCATTTCCCCAATTTTAGAGTAATCTATCTAGAGTTGTGGTATAGCTCAGACAAACCTATATCCTCTTGTGACAGGGTAACTATTTCTTTCATGTAGTGATCGTCAAACCTGGCTGATTAGCCAGATTATTAGTGGAGATCTTCAAAAGTAAGTGAGCCTTACCACTAGAGATTCGGCATCAGTGACGAGGAGAGTATCTTTAGACAGCCCAGCCTAGCATGGGACTCACTGCATTAGTCATATCACCTGCCTTTTAGACCCTGCATTATTAGGGGAGGTTGTGAGTCCCTTTTGTCCTTCCTTTTATATCCCCTCAGTTCCTAGTTAACTGTACCCATCAAATAATGTGTGGTCACTTTGTTCACCGAATCTCGGGGTGGAATATCCATAGGCATTCTACCCCTTTCTGCTTCACACTCCCCTGGCAGGACTTCCAAACCGCTTCTGAAACTGGATTTTGATTTGTGTTAACCGTATCTATTGAATGCCAATCCATTTGGGCTCTGTGATGAATAATCTGATGTTAACTGATTAGCAAATGTCAATGCATAAGTTTTATTATATAGAACTAATTTGAGTGATTGCCTTCTAACTTATAGGGTGTTTTACACGCAAGTAGTTTATTGCATTCAGATACATACACCAAATTAGCTTGGCATTGTGTTGTTTTAAAGAAATATTTCTTTATTGAATAGGTAATACACAAATGATGTATAAATAAAGCTCCAAAAAAGGTAAAGGTCCTTGAAGATTTCTCTTAAATAGTACTCTATTTGGATTTCTGCTTATGAGTTTTTGTCAACAATTCAGTGAAAATATTAAATGGAAAATTTAAGCATCATAAATTCTATATTAATAGAATTGAAATTATTAGCAGTACACTACTGGAAAAAAGTAAAGTAATATCAAAAGGCAAAATTTTGTGTAGTTTATGCTATTTTCATGTTAGAGATTGATTTGTAATATTATTATTACAGTAATTTTTTTCTACCACCACTTACCTGTGCAACTACAGGGCCTTTTGTACCCTGGGTCAGTAACTTCTTTAGTTCAGAGGTCATTATCAGACTCTTATTGGCAGCCTAAGGCCTAAGTAGGGAATAGTAGATAACATTCACTGATCTGTGGCTACATACCAGGTGTTGTGCAAAACATACTGTACAAGTGGTAGATTGTATTACTCCCAATTCTTATTTTCAGATGAGGAAATGGATCACAGCTTGCTTCTGGTCACCTGGTTGCATTTAGGATCAGATTGGAGTTTAGGCTTGAGATCTTCTGCCTTGTGTTATACCCCTCCAGGAAAAGGAGAAATAAACAGAAGGAAAAGACAAAAAAATGAACTAACAAATTGTTTGGGCTTGTTTCACCCATTCTGGTGCCTCTGATAGCCCTTTTAAAGAAAAAGGACTGCTACAAATGTTTGGAACACAGAGCTTAAGTGCATATTTTCATGTGAAGATTAAAACTTTAGGAGGGGAGCCCTGGCTGATATGGCTCAGTGAATTGAGCGCCAGCCTGCAAATCAAAGGGTCAGCAGTTCCATTCCCACTCAAGGCACATGCCTGGATTGCAGGCATGGTCCCTGGTGGGGGGCACATGAGAGGCAATCACACTTTGATGTTCCTCTCCCTCTCTTTCTCCCTCCCTTCTGTTGTGTCTAGAAATATTTTTTTAAAAAATAGGAGAGGGAGTTTGTTTTCCATTTAGCAAGTGCTTGAGTGGGGGAGGAAGTAGCAACTTTGCCCCCAGGAACCCCTATTTGTCTTGGGGAAGGCAGGCACACTTGTAATGATTACAGTGCCTGGGAACTATTGTAAAACTTGTGATCATGTTCTTTGGGATCCCAGAGGAAGATGGGGGCAGGGAGGATGAGGGCCATAGTCAGGTAGCTGGGTTTTAAAGGAAGAATGCCTTGGGCCAAGTGGAGAAGGGCATTCCCAGGCAGAGGGAACAGCATGGATAAAGGTGTGGAGTTAAACTTAGGAAAAGACAAGCAGTTTTATGTAGCTAAAACTAAGTCTGTAGAAGAGGTAGGTAAAGGAGGGAAGGCTAGAAATGTAAGGGCAGTGAGAGCCTCATATTCTGCAAGTGGTGGAGAAGGACTGATGGATTTTTATCACATGAAAGTCAGAAAAGTACTTAGAGATGAAAGTTCTGAAAAAGATTGTTTATGAGGAGGAAGAGACCATAGGCAGCAGCATTTATGTGGAAGGACTTTGTGGTGAGGTGCTCAAGCCAGGCCCACTCTACCCCTTAGTGTGGGGCACTGTAGTCATCAGGATCCTCCCTTTAGAGAACACATCCGGGGCTGTGGACATGAGTGCAGGGGGTGGGTTGGAGCCTTTGTCATCTGCAGAGAAAGAAGGGAATGGGATGCTCATTTGATATGTGTGATAGGGATCAGGCTTTGAGACCCAACCCACTGCAGGGAGGAAGGGCAAGGTGGTTCTGAGAGCAGGTTCCTCTCCCAGCCCAGGCCTTTAGCCTTCCTTTTACTGTTCCCTCAGGCCAAACTGCAGGGGCATGTGGAACCTCTAAGGAAGCAGCTGGAGGCTGTTCAGAAGATGAAAGCCAAGGAGGAGAGGCGGGTGACAGAGTTGAAGGTGGGTGGATGTCCTTGACAGGGGCTGACGGGCTCTGTGGTCAGGGCAGGGAAGATGGGCTGTCTACTCTCACAGATCGTGACTAGATATGCTGAAGAGGGGCAGCTGAGGCCTGGGAGAGAGGTAGACAGACACCTTCCCAGGGTCCTGAGAAGAGAGAGGCATTCCCAGGTTCTAAAATGGGGGTGAAAGGCCTAGCTTAGAGACGTTAGGCCACCTCACCCCAGATCCAGTGTCCTACCACTCTGTCCCCACCATGCTGGATAGCAGAGAGCAGAAGGGGGCAAGGCAAAATCCATATAGCAGCCATCAGAGAAGCCCCAGATCCCAGGGTAGATGGCAGGTGGTGGGCAGAGCAATCCGGAACATGAGAGGGGCCAAGGTACCTAATGGAGGGGAGGAACTAGTGAATGTTAGAATTGTAGAGACATAGTATCCTCTAGTCCAGTGGTTCTCAGCCCCTTTTCACTGTTGCTCACCTCTCCCTAAGAAGTATTTTTAGATATTTTTTTCCTCAATTCTCACCCCTTATCCCCTGTCTGTTTTTATAAGGCCACCAGGCACTGGAATGGCCTGGTGCTGAACTTCAGAGACCAAGTGCAGGGTATCCCTCCTATCAGACTTCTTTCCCCACCTCTTCTGTGCCTGCCCCCCGGCCTGTGGCTGGGCCTTAGCACTTCCCAGGGCCTGTGCTTGTTGCCACCTACACTTCAGGGCCTTCTGCTGCTGGCAGCTGCCTGGGGCTGGGTGGTGGCATCTGGGTATGGGAGTTGGGGAGTCATCTTGCCTCTAGCCCGCTGCCCAAATTGAGACTTGGGGTCGCTGGTGTGCAGAGAAAGTGTAAGGATCTGTGTGTCACTGGGACAGAGGGAGAAACTGACTTTTTACTTCACCCACTTGGCCAGTCAGGACTTCCCTCCTCACTCCGGTTTGTCACTCTATGTCCTAAGAATGTCACCAGCTGATGATACATGGACAAAAAGTGTGCCCACCATTTGGGAGTGCCCAGTCCAGGCAAGTGGGATGGGGATGGACAGATATATTTTCTTATTATAATAGAAGTACCTACATAATAATATCCTTCATTTTGCCTCTTGGCCCTTAAAGCATGAAATATTATCTGTCCCTTTACAGAAACCATTCGCCGATTCCTGATTGGTGACTTTCCGAAGGTCACTAGTGTGATAGTCAGGATCCTAACTTCATATCTCAATTCCTGAATTTTTTGTTTATTCATTCCAAGAAATTCTTACCAAGCACCAGTTCCATGATGGGCGCTGTGCCAGGGTCCAAGGATCTTGTGGCAAACAGAGCCTCCAGTGCAGTCGGGGGGAAGAATACTACAGGGACTCCAGTGTAAACTGGACGTTGGAAATTGAGATATGCCATGAGGAGACATAGTGATATTTCTGGGAGTGGTCCTGATTTAGATCTAGAGGGAAGGGAAGGCTTCTCTCAGGGATTATTTAAGCTGAGACCTGAAGAGTGAGTCAAATTAGGTAGCCAAGGTAGAGATGAATTTTGGAGGCAGCGGTGGGTGTTCTGGACCAGTGTGCTGGGGGTGGGGGAGTGATAAGGCTGGGATGTGGGGAAGGGGTTAGGTATCTCTTTCCATTTGGGATGTAGGGCTCCTTTGTCTTGGATTGAGGGGCAGCAGTTGCAAAACTGGGGGTTTATGTTTCTGTGTGTTGAGGTGCTATCTACTATCCCCTTGTATCATCCCAGAGCCAGATGAAGTCAGAGCTGGCAGCTGTGGCCTCAGAGTTTGGGCGGCTGACAAGGTTTCTTGCTGAAGAGCAGGCAGGGCTGGAGCGGCGCCTTCGAGAGATGCATGAAGCCCAGCTGGGGCGTGCAGGAGCAGCGGCCAGCCGTCTGGCTGAGCAGGCAGCCCAGCTGAGCTGCCTGCTGGCTGAGGCCCAAGAGCGGAGCCAGCAGGGGGGCCTGCGGCTGCTCCAGGTAAGCAGTGCCCCCTTCCCTGTCTGCTCCCGAGCACCCTGTGTTTGCTTTGTCAGACATTGCTTTCCACACACCTTACCTGTCCGTGGTTTCCTTTTCTCATTGGGAGGAATGCACAGGGCTTTCACCTGTGGCAGAAGATAAGCATTATTGTCGATTGTGGTGTGTATGTGTGATCATACCCAATGACAATTGAGAAGATCAGTTGTAGAAGGAGGGTCTCAAGTGAGAATCGAGGAAAGATTTTTTGATGGTGACTTCCTGAAAAAGATGACCAAGTCATACTGTGAAAATTATTTTACCGGGGTTGAAAATTCTATTCCTGGGCTCACAGCAAGATGAGATGAGTTAGGTGTGCTGGGGCATAGGATGATTTAGATGGGTGCATGTTACCGAGAGACCTGAGGTGCTTTTTCTCACTCCCTGTTCGAGTTCAGTCTTTCTCTGGCTGGCATTGGAGTGGGAGAAAGGACCCACCCCTGCACAGCTGACCCTCTCTTTGTCTCTTTCTCCCTCTCCTTCTTTGTGTTTGTTATTCCCAGGACATCAAGGAGACTTTCAATAGGTGTGTTCCCATCCTTTATCCTTTGTGACCCAGTGGCATCTGGTTCCCAATCCCCACCTCTTTTGGCTGTCCTTCCCCTCTCCTTCCTTCCCCAGGACCCAAATTTCTGCCTCCTGTATCCTTCTCTCCTCCTCAGCTTCTGTTCTTCCCTCTGGGAATATCATGGTCCCACCCCCTGCCTGGTCCCCTTCCTCCAGGTGTGAAGAGGTACAGCTGCAGCCCCCAGAGATCTGGTCCCCTGACCCGTGTCAACCCCATAGCCATGACTTCCTGACAGACGCCATCGTGAGGAAAATGAGCCGGATGTTCTGTCAGGCTGCTCGAGGTAGGGAGGTCACCTGGACGACCTTCCTTTGCCTTTCCCTTCACAGACCTGAGATTGGGTTCTGAGGGAAGATGGGCCCCAGGGGAAGAATGGGGGCAGAGATGGAGCAGGCAGCAGGTAGGCCACCCAGGGCTACAAGCCAAGACTTCTTTCCTAGCCCAGGTAGGTATTGGGGATGAGGGCTGGCAAGAAGAGCCAGGGCCAGAGGGAAGACCTCTCCAGTGTTCTGGAATCAAGAGTGGGAAAAGAGGTGGAGCCCCTAGGAACCTGAGCCTGGCCTCTAGGAACGGTGGGGAACTGAGGATAGCTGGGGATCGGGGAGGTGAGGGGGGCGGGGAGGGCATTAGAAGAGGCCGAACCTTGACATTCGCTGATCATGGGGGAACAGTGGGCCGATCCCTGGCGTATTTGTCGTCCTCCCTCCCAAGTGGACCTGACGCTGGACCCTGACACGGCTCACCCGGCCCTGATGCTGTCTCCTGACCGCCGGGGTGTCCGCCTGGCAGAGCGGCGGCAGGAGGTTGCTGACCATTCCAAGCGCTTTTCAGCCGACTGCTGCGTACTGGGGGCCCAGGGCTTCCGCTCTGGCCGGCACTACTGGGAGGTAGAGGTGGGTGGGCGGCGGGGTTGGGCGGTGGGTGCTGCCCGTGAATCAACCCACCATAAGGAGAAGGTGGGTTCTGGGGGTTCCTCTGTGGGCATCGGGGATGCCAGCTCTTCTTCACGCCATCACCATCGCCGCCGCCGGCTCCACCTACCCCAGCAGCCCCTGCTCCAGCGGGAAGTGTGGTGTGTGGGCACCAATGGCAAACGTTACCAGGCACAGAGCTCAACGGAGCAGACGCTGCTGAGCCCAAGTGAGAAGCCACGGCGCTTTGGCGTGTACCTGGACTACGAGGCTGGGCGCCTGGGCTTCTACAATGCCGAGACTCTGGCCCATGTGCACACCTTCTCAGCTGCCTTCCTGGGCGAGCGTGTCTTCCCTTTCTTCCGGGTGCTTTCCAAGGGCACCCGCATCAAGCTGTGCCCTTGATCAGCCTGCCACCCGCAGGGGCCCCTCTGGTCAGCACTGGTGGGGCGGGTGGTGGTGGAGGGTGGCCCGTAAGTTTGGGGGCTGAAAGGCTCCCAAAACTGTTACTGCATTGCTTCCTACTCTTCCTTGACCCCAGGACCCTGCTCTTCTCCCTCTAGGAGCCTAACGAACCCTTCTGGCCTCCAGCTCGGCCTCCTCTCACCTACTATCTGTCCAACAGGTCTGCATGGGTCCCTGATAACAGCTGCTTGGTCTTCCCTCCCTCTGTATGCCCAGGGCCTGAATTTGAGTAGGGGAGGGGATATTTAATTTCATTAACTTCCTTTTCCCCATCCCTGCTTTTCAACCTTCACATCAGTTCCCAGGCTGGAGGATTTGGGCAAGACTCATGACTACCCCTATTCCAATTACATTTTCTGATGCAAGTTTTAGCTAAGGGATTTGGTAGCTTTCCTGGGGGAGGCAGGATGGACTAAGGGTAGAGCTGGATAATAAAGAACCATCTACTCTCTGGGGGAAGGAAGGATTCTAAATTTTCTTCCATCCCCAATTTCTACCTCCATAGACTGGCCAGAATTTAGCTTCAATGAGAGATCTGGAATGGTCGACATGATTGAAACTACATCTCCCAATAAATTATTTTCTTCCCATTTTTTCCAGCACTTAATGTAGGAGCAAAGCTCACCCTACCCTTTTCACTGCCAGGCTCCTTTCCCCTTTGTTCAGTAGTTCCTTTTGTCATTCTCCATCATCTTCATGTCTTTAGTTCCATTTGATGAGCCCTGATGGGGAGCCTGGGGACCAGGGTTTGGGTCCCTACAAGGAGAGCCTTGGGTATAATCTATTTTTCTAGTAACCCTTTGCCTTGTCACTTACCAGCTTTTGTCCTGTGCTTTGATAGCCCAGGTCAATTTATGTTCCTGGGGAAAAGGGAAGTTGGGTTGTGTTGTGGAAATAAAGTTTTATTTGCTGCTTTTGCGGAGTCTGTTCTTTTAGACAATCTAAAGATAGGACCTGGAAACCATTTCTTCCACAGGAAGCCAGCCCTCTACTAAATTGAGGTGGTTAATATGATTAGTGCTGAGACCCTGGTCTCAAGAGACTGGGGTACAAATCCTACCCTTCCCATTTGTACACCCAAATTTATAGGCACTCTTCATGTTATACTTGACTTCATTCTCTTGACTCCTGCTCTGAGGCTTTGGGACAATGGTTTCCTCAAAATCTCCCCACCCATATGGCTCAGGCCCAGAACCTAGAACACATTTCCCAAGTTTTTTTTAAGTGAATTATTTGGAGCCCCATAAAGTTGGATCTTAAGTCAGAGATGCCTTGTTACCCTTAGTCAAGGAGGAAATAGAAGGTATTACAGGTGACTTCAACATGCTGTCATTTACCCAGCTTTGATCACAAAGACAATTGTATCACTCCACAGATGCTTAAAAAATTCTGAGGACATTTTCTTCCCATTGCTTTTAGAGGGAGACACATTGATCAGTTGCTTCCCCTACACACCTGGGCCAGGGATCAAACCCACCTTTTGGTTCCTGAATGACATACCAACCAACCAAGGCACGCAAGCCAGGGCTCTATCCATTTTTAATCTCCAATAATGTAAAGAATGAAATGGGATTATTAAGCAACAATTCTGGTGAGCTGCTGTGACTTAACTGAAAAACTCCATTTTAACAAGATGACCAAATCTGATGTAGGCTATATGCTAACCTTAACCTGTAGAGTTCTATAAGTTTTCTGCATTAGTCTTTTTGGAGGAAGAGCAAAATGCACCTTTGTTTGATTTCTTAGGTGCAAACAGAGTTGTATCTGAGGATTCTGCTTTTTTTTTTTTTAAAGATCTATTTTTAGAGAGAGAGGAAGGGAGGGAGGAAACATCAATGTGTGGTTGCCTCTCATGCACCCCAACTGGGGATGTGGCCCATAACCCAGGCATGGGCCCTAGACCAGGAATCAAACCAGTGACCCTGTGATTTGCAGGTAGGTGCTCAAGCCAGGGCTCTGCTAATTTTAAAATGATTGCAACCAGTGTGAATAGTCCCTTTCACTGAACAATTTTTCCAGGCTTAAGGGAGGCCCTGAGAATCAGTATCTGAAACGGGACACTGTGATGAGGGAACCTAACAAGACTGACACGCCCCCACCCCCAAAGCCTTAGTTACTCGGTCTAGGCTTCCAGTCTGCTAGTATCTGAACCTGTAAGCAGCACAGCATGGAAGTAGTCTTTTGTTCCTAATCAGAGAAAGACACTCTCTACATGTCAGAAAACCAGGGTTTTTTTAATTTTTAAAGCTTTGCCAGGTACTTCTAGCGGGTGCCGATAGTCACCTGCCACACTCGCACCAGGTTGTCTGTATAGCCAGCAAAGAGAGTCTGCAAAGGAGAAATGATGGTGGTTACATCAGAGCCATGGAACTCTGAAGTCCCACCAGTACAGCAAAGATGGCCTTTAAGATCCCCACTCTTCTACCTGATTATGGGTGATTACTCCTAGAGGAAGCAATAGCTGGTAATAAGGATTCACATGCTTATAAACTTGTCAAGGTAAAGTTAACTGAAGACACAAGTAATCTCTGCCCTCCAAAGTAGGTATACACACTGTGTTCACTGGCACAGCTAAATAGACACCCCATATCCCATTATCTTAATGTTGTCATGTTACTTTACATCAGAGATGCCGGTTGTGACTGGCAGGCTTGACACACCCACTTACCTGGCCATCAGCAGACCAGGCCAGAGAGGTACACTGGGGTGGTTCTGCCTTGCTGCTGGTACTGATAACTTCTTGCTTCAATTCATCTACAATGATCTTGCCCTCCAAGTCCTGAGTAAGGAAAGGAAACTCTTAGCACTTTAATGCCATTGACACTAACCCTCCCTCCTCCAAAAGCCTCTCAGTGACTTCAAAAGGATTTTTTTGCCAGCCCCACCCCATATTTGGCAATGCCTAGAGGCATTTTTAGTTTGTCACTATGGGAAGAAGTTTACTAGTGGGGAGTAAAGACTAGGGATGCTGCTACACAACCTAAAATGCACAGGACTGTCCCCTGGCCCATAAATTAGATCAAAATGTCAAATGTGCTGAGGGTAAATAAGCAATTATAATTTGTCACCCTTTTCCAGAGGCAAAGAGCTCCTAATCATTGCAAATCCCAAATCCAGGAAATTTTAACTAGCTTTTCCTAGGTCTCCACCGACACCCCAACAGGAGTTTTCAGGAAAACCACAATGTTGTCAGGGCTTACACAATACAGCTAGGTACCTGGGCTCAACTGCAGCCCATACTTACCCAGATCTTGATGCTGGGGCCAGTGGCAGCACAGAGCCAGTAGCGATTAGGGCTGAAGCACAGAGCATTGATGATGTCCCCACCATCAAGTGTATAAAGGTGCTTGCCTTCATTGAGGTCCCACAGCATGGCCTGGCCATCCTGGGAGAAAGGAAAGGTAAGTCAGAACAATGTGACCTCTTCCAGATGTCTGTCAATTCCAGCTGCCTAAAGATCATCTTAATTCTTAACTATCTGCACCCTTATACTCTGAACTTCCCAAAAACTACAGACTCAAGTACCAATATTTACCTCTGTACACCTTTAATATACCACCTAACCAATCCTACCAAAGGCCCATGACTTCTGAATCACCATGATCAGTTTGGAAAACAAGATCCTGATCTCAATGGTTTTAAGAGACCAACTGTACAGAAGACAGTCTTCTCCCTTTAATCAGTACTCCTCATCTATGTCATTTCCAGAAAGTGATCCCTAGAAATGTTTACTTTTGAATTGCTACCTCATTATCTTAAATATTCTTTCTAAGACCCCCAACCCCATTGAGTAGGCGACTCCTAGCTTCTGAGTACCTTGCCTCCAGAAGCACAGAGGGATCCATCTGGAGAGACAGTCACAGTGTTCAGGTACCCAGTGTGGCCGATGTGATTAGTCTTCAGCTTGCAGTTTGCCAGGTTCCACACCTAAATTGGCGGGGGAAGTGGGTGGTGGGGGAGTGGGGTAAAGAACCTAGCTCTGGATCTACCAGAGCCAGAAGGGCTCAAGTCAAACAGAAAGGGGTTTAAAACCCTGTTTAAAAGCATTCCTGGATAGCATGGCCAATTAAAAAATAATAATAATAATAATAATTCCAGCAGTAACCAAAAGAGCTAAAGAATTTGTCTTGGTAACTTATGGACAATTAAGATTAAAACAGGTAACAACTGCTCTATTGCCTTAAAAGGGACTCAGGCTCATCCATTAGCTGCTTTAGACCAACTAGCAAGAGGGAACAAGTAAAACGAGGGACAAAACTTTCAAAGCTGGAGTTTATGAACACATGGGAGGGAGACAGTGGGAACACATCCCAGCCAGCAAAGACCCCAGCTCTAACTAAGCTCACCTTGACCAGTTTGTCCCAGCCACAGGAGACGATGATGGGATTGCTGCTGTTGGGTGAGAAACGGACACAAGACACCCACTCTGAGTGGCTCTCGTCCTACAGATGAAAAGGAAATTAGGGAAAACCAACTTGTCCCATGAACCTCTAGACTGCCATCCCTTGGTTATGATGACAATCTTCAAGATCAGTGAGGCCTGAAGTCACCACATACGGCCCAGGTTAGAGAGAACCTAACCTTGGGAGAGAACCTTTATGCGTGACTTCACTTTACCTGGACAGTATATTTGCATACACCCAGAGTATTCCATAGCTTGATGGTTTTATCTCGGGAGCCAGAGACGATCTGCCGGTTGTCAGAGGAGAAGGCCACACTCAGCACATCCTTGGTATGGCCTACAAATCGGCGTGTGGTAGTGCCCCTGAGAGGAAGGACTTGGTCAATATCTAGAAGACTTTGTGAGCCTTCTTCCAGTTAGACCATTTCCTTGGCCTCATTCCCACCCCAGCAGAGTTGTGCTTATTCACACAACCCTGGACGTGGCTCTAATCACAGAAGGCTGAGAATATGCCAGAGGATCCTTTCAGAATTGCAGGACATGTCCTCATTCCCACATGGGGATTGGCTGACAATGTCACCTGTCATCACCAGGATCTTCCATTATGCTTGACTAACCAAAGACGGAGCTCTCAAGATGGAAGCTGTTCAAACTCCTGCCTACTCCCAATGGCAGTATCTGGCAAAACTGCTCAACCAAACCCATCAGCACTTCTGCATGTCTGACTGAAAGCAGAGAGGAGGGAGGCCAAGCAACCAATTACCCTCTCTAGGTCTCTCTGGATTCACTATTCCCACAAGGGAACTGATGGCCCAGAGGAAACCACCTCCCAACAGCATCTCCCTCATTTCTGCTCAGCTTTCCCCCAACACCCCAGAGCCAAATGAGCAGCTACTTGCGTGGTAAGATCCCAGAGGCGAAGGGTTCCATCCCAGGAGCCAGAGAGGGCAAACTGGCCGTCTGAGGAGATGACCACGTCACTAACAAAATGTGAGTGGCCACGAAGAGCACGCTGGGGGATGCCGTAGTTGGTCTCATCCCTCGTCAGCTTCCACATGATAATGGTCTTGTCTGAGGGCAAGTAAAACAGAAATAAAACCCAGTGAGGAAGCCCACAGGCCATTTGCTTGCCTACTGGATAATCCAGGATGCCTCAAGGTGGGTCTAAATGTAACAACTTAAGGACACTCAGGGAGGGAGGGGAACTGCAGGCTATTGAGACCATTAACAGCCAAGGCCAAGTGACTACTGAGAAGAGAACTAAACGTTTAAGTTGAGAATTAACCTCAAATATGCAAAACTTCCACAGACTGAGGATGCCCTTTTCTGAGACACAGAACAATTCAACATCTATTTAGTCTTATCTGACCTCTAAGGCAAAACCCAGCAGCGTGGATGTGGGAAACCCAGTTGAGGCTGCCAAAAGCGCTGGAATTAGGTCGCTTCACACACTACAGCACGGATGCTTTCACTAAAACTAAAGCCCAAGCTTTTCGATTAGCGCCAGGCACGAGC